CTGTAAACGCCCTTCCTTCTGATTTGCACCTTTTGCAAATCAGCCTTAAAGACCCAATTTATTGAAATTACACCATGCAACTACACACCCTTACACCATGAAATTTTCTTTGATCTCTGCTCCTATCCACAAGTGCTCTCTCTCTTCTTAGGACTCCCTTCTGACTTTGTCTTTCTCCTACGTACTTCACATAACAGTCTATTCTGTGTTATGGTACTTGTGACCCCTGTCTTATGTCACCCTGGCTATAAGTTCCTTGAGAGCCGATGCTATTATCCTTGTACCAAAACTTCCTGCCCAGCATCTAGCACAGGGCCTAGGATAGAGCCCGGTTAATAACCTGCTATGATAGATGCTTAATAAAAGTTGGCATTTAAATGTCTGTTGATCTCAGTACTTTATGACTACTGCACATGGGTAAATTAAGGAAGTCTAAGAATTCCATTTCAGATTTTTCATGGTCAACATATAAGGATTCAGAGCACAATCAAAGTAACAAGTGTTCTACTCTATTCAGTTAACAATGCATTCTGTCATCTAAGAAAGCTGCCGATTTTTACTTCAGTGCTCATGTTTCCACAGACCACTGAGTACTTATTTGTTTAAGCCAACAGCTGTAATATGCTACTGAATCTACTATTTTCTGCCTGGTTATCAATCTATAATTCACTATCCTTATAATAATAGGGATCAGAGATCTCGAACTCAAAGTGAGAGGCCATCCAGTCCAATTTCCTTATTTTACAGATGGGGAAACTGAGGCCCAGAAAGGATGAGATACTTGCCCAAGGTCATACAGTTAGTGGCTGAGGAAGGATTTGAACATAAATACTTTGGTTCTTGGGCAATGTTCTTTTCACTATACCTGGGAATACTGATATTTCTAAATGGACCATACTAATTTTGTAGCTTTTATAATAGAGTGGGAAAACTAAAACCAGGCTTTAATGCAGTAGATTAGGAAGAGCAATTGCAAAGGAATTTCCTCTCTCTCCCCAACCCCCACCCCTGAGGGGAGGGGAAAAATCAGAGCATGGTACACTTAATTTCTGTGAGACATAAACATTTCTTGTCTTAGAATGAAAGAGAACATACAAGTACCCTCTCCAGTCAAGTATGTGGGTCTTTTGTTTATCTCATCCCGTAGCTGTAGATTTAATACTTTTTTATGTTGTGACAGACACTAAAAGCTCTCTGCAGTAGGAGGCAGCTGCCTTCCTTGGCCTTCAGAATCCCCCAAAATCCTGTGTCAAGTGACATGAAGCTAACACAAAACCACTACCTCCTGGCAAAGGGGAATGGAGATAAAATAAGGATCTTCTCTAGAAAATCACAACCCAGAGTTTCTAGGGATGAATGGCTGGATCTTGGCTTGAAATCCTTTCTTCTTTGGGAAATCCTGAATTCAGGGCTATGTTGCCTTTTTCCATCTCATCTTCCTAAACTCTTCTCTTGCTTCCCTCGCCCTCAAGTTTTAGACTGTCAAATTATTTCCACCATAACACCTAAAATAGGATCATAGATCAGTGCAGAGCAGGCCTGCAGAACTTGTGGCCTGTGGGCCACTTATGATCCCTGACCTCTTGCAGCATGCCAAAGGATTTTGGGTGGCCCTGGTTTGTGGGCCACCCAAAATCCTCTGGTATGGCTGTAAGCAGCCCGTGGGCCATAGGTTGTGCAGGGCTGGTGTAGAGCTAAGGGGGAGCAGAGAGACCATCTCGGACA